CATGAATACATAAAGAAATGAAAGAAGTGTGGTGTGAGCCAACAACAGAAATAAAAACAATGACTTAAAGAAAGTGTTTGTGATTATGTAGCTTCTGTAAAAGACTTGAACCCAGCATGACCTGGACAAGGTGGATGGAGAGCAGGCGGGGACTGAGGAGTCAGTGAACACACCACAGATTCACTGTGAAGCGACCTGTTTAGCACCTCACAGTAAGCAGGAAGATTGTTTTCAAAATAAAGATCACTTTTTGTTATGTTCAAACTTTATTACTACTTTCAAACTTTTATTAAAACTTTATAAGAGCAGAAGTTAAAAACCTGAGACCAACTTGGTATTTACATGAAAACTAATAAAACCTGAGACCCAGATGCTGAATTCATAAATACTGAAACACAAAGAGCAGTAAAGACGCCGCAGACAGGAAACTGACATCACCACAGAACTCCAGCGTCCCCAATAATCAATCATGAAAACAGCTGAGAAATAAAAACATTTAAAGGACACTTAAATCAAAACAAGGCAGCCGATCGCCACGGTAACGGCACGGCTGACGTCACATGGGCTTGGTGGTGCTGTTATAAACAGACGTCTCCTCCTTGGACAGTGCTTCGTGGGTGGGGCTTGTGTTGACGGGCCTGTGTGTGCGCCTCTTGCGGGCCCTCAGGAAGCAGTAGGCCAGGATGGCCAGCAGAGACAAGATGGCCACCGACAGGATCACGGCGAGCGTGATGGAACCTGTGGAGGAGGACAGTGAGGTCATGTCCTGTTTGTACTGTAGAACAGTTGAAAGCTGAGATTAAATCTCTCACTTGAGTCGTCGTCTACTTCCTTGTCGAAGCGCTCAAACAAACCTCTGGCGAACACATCGTTCTCTGCAAGGAAAGAAGAAAAAGCAGCAGTGAGTTCCAAAACTCATAAGCGAGTGAGCCGCTCTCTCTTCCTGTTTCCTTATCTGGAAGTCAGCGAGTTTTATGAAGTTCTGCCGGAGTGCTTACATTTCTGTGCTTCAGCACAAACTGCGTCAGGTTAGCGAGAAGACGTCTGAATGACATTGTCACAGAGTTATGTGACTGCAGTGTATGTGAGAAGTTTCTGTGTGTGGAGCTCATCTCATGAGGGAAGGGTCCCAAAGTTTGATTTCCCACAGACAAAAAAATCCAAATTTTTATGTTTGTGTTAGCTGGTAGCCAAGGCAACGCCACCTTCAGCCGGCCAATAGAAGCCGCTCCTGTGCTTAGCGAGACGCTCACTTTCTTTAAGTCAGAGCGCTGCAGTGTGGGTGACGCTCAGGTTTGGTTGATCTTTAATCTGCTGGAAAGCCAGCGCTCTGTTGTGAAGATTAAGTGTTTGTGTGTGCGAATTTGTGTGTACCGCCGACTTCTTTGCAGTACTCGCTGCATGTCTGATCGTCCGGAAAGTTGTTTTCGTTCCTGTCACAGCCACCGTAGGTGAATTCGTGACACTTCTGGTCCAGGGGGTCATAGTACCAGCCGGGGAATTTGGCCCGGCACGGACCGGTGCGGGGAGGCTCCGTGCACTGAGCTGAGGGGGGAGGGGTTAATTAGCATGTAGCTTGTTAGCTTTGAGTATTTCTTTAACAAAGAAAATTAAAACAAACCTTTCTTCTTGTTCACATCAATGTCCAGCAGAAGGCTCAAGGTCTGATTCACTGAGGAGGAGGAGGAGGAGGAAGGTCAGCTACACTCAGTGTGTATGTGAGTGTGTGTGTGTGTGTGTGTGTGTGTGTGTGTTTGCGTTACGTTGGTGGCACTGGCTCTCGTCTGATCCGTCGCTGCACTGCTTCACGTTGTCACACTCCATACTTCTGTCCAGGCAGCAGCCGTTGCCACAGGTTAGCTGATCAGGACCGCATGGCGAGCCGCACACCTCTTAAAACACACGCACGCACACACGCACACACACTGAGCATCCTGGTTGTACTGTGGAGCAGAGATGAAGAAGTGCGCTGTGGGACTGACCTGCAGCGGGCAGAGTAACACTCCTCTGCGATGACACTGTGGACAAAAATACAGAAACAGTGTTACAATAAAGGTGTGTGTCTGTGTTTGTGTGTTCGTGTGTACGTGTGTGTACCTGTGACTCCTCTGCAGGCAGACAGACACTCTTGTTCAGACAGAAAGTTGTTCTCGTTTCCTATACAGCCTCCGAACACAAACATCTCACAGACGCCCTTTGTGATGTTGTAACGCCAGCGAGTAAATTTCGCGCGGCACGGCCCGACCTTCACCGGAGCCTGACAGTATGCTGAGGGCGAGGACAGCGTCAGTTACATCACTTCCTGTCAGACTTTTACCTACAGAAATACAGCTGACTGCAGTGCTGAACACACACAGGGTGTGCCACTGTGACAACACTTGCGCCATTTACTGTTTTGCAAAGTCCCATTTTACGGTTTTAAAGCCTGACTCTTGTCAGAGCTGCGATCAATACACACTCAGTGAATCACGTGACCCTGAAATCAGCTGAAAGGAAGATGTCAAATAGAATTACGTCAAGTTTCTGCTGTGAGTGTGGGGGTGCCCTCTGAGCGTGCATGAGTCAGGTAATCCAGTCTGACCAGTTTAAGAGGAGCGAGAAAACAAACACCATTCCCTCCACCAATTAGCTGATTCTGCTTCTACCACACCGTTTAACTGATCAATAACACAGTGATTCAGCCATCAGCTGATCGATAAAGTGACGATAAGGGAAGACTTCAGAAATCAATAAAGTCAGACTGAGATGAAAACAAACTAAACGTCCTCAAAACCTAAAATTGACCAAATTCTCTATTGACTCTGGCACAGGGCTCTGCACATGCTACAGGCTTATTGTTGGAATACATATCCCATGAGCACTCACAGCTGGTCTGTTGTGGGTTAAGAACGAGGACTGTGACCTTGGCATCATCCGATTTGCCGTTGGAGTCGTTGACCGTCAGCTTGAAGACATACGAGCCTGTCTGCAGGTTGGAGAGCTGCACCTGGTCAGGATAATTGGTCTCCTGCAGAAGCCCATTCAAAAATAACAGCATTTAAAAGTGAAATGAGCTAGACTCAGTCACAGGTGAATGCTGCAGAGGGACCCTGAAGAACAATTACATTCACCTGGACACACCTGCACAGACACAAGTCCTTATTTTAACTTCCAAAAACCAAGGCAGAGTGAAAACTGGACAGATTGTGAATGAGATTTGGTGGGCTGGAAGCTGCTCTGCTGAATTTTATGTTCAAAGTAGTGGATACAGTGAACTACCCGTCTGTCTCCAGGTGAAGTCTCCCTGTAACACAGAAGCCCCCACCCCCGTGCTGCAGCACCTGTACCTCTATCTTTACACTGCTGTCTCCTCTCTCCAGACTCCAGCGGTAGTCTTTAATTTTGGCGCCGCTCAGCGCCACACTCTCAGTACCATTGAGCATCACAGTCTCTCCAGGCTGAATGGTGACATCACGGCCTGCATTGGCGACGGGCGGATGCTTCTTACCTGGAGACAGAGTGAGGGGGAGCTGAAGTCAGATGGATTCTGAGACAGGGTCAGAGATCAAGTGCATAGAGAGGCAGCGCAGCCTGAAATGATAATAATGGATTGCATATATAGCGCTACATATATATGCTTTACAATTCCACTATTCATTCACTCTCACATTCACACACTGGTGGAGGCAAGCTACAGTTGTAGCCACAGCTGCCCTGGGCAGACTGACAGAAGCGAGGCTGCCAATCAAGTGAGGTGGGGGCCGGCCCTGGCCAACACCAGTAGGCGGTAGGTGTCCAAGGACACAACGACCAAGACAGACAGAGCACCGGCGAGGCGTTAGTCCCACAGCTACAATGGAGGCGAGCTGGTCACAGCATTGTGCCGGTGGCTTCAGCCACAAATAACAGGCGTCTGTGCTGTGGTTATCTGTCAGCGTGGAGGGAACATGTGACATCCTGTAACACTTAATCAGCTGATCACGGCGGTCTGAGAGAACGAAGCTGCAGATCATCTTTAACCCGCTCCTCACACACAGCGGAGGAACACGCCGTCTACGCGACAGCTGCTCTTCAAAAACATTAAACAGAAGCTGTGTCCCAAAACCTAGGCCACATCCTTCGGAGGACCCGGCCTTCGCAGTCTATGTGGGCCGGTGTTCTGGGAATCCATCCTACCTGAAAAAACATCCTACACAATGTTTCTGTGCAGACGCGGCGCATGCGCACAACACCAAACGCCGAACTAACTCCTTTTTCTCTCACCCATCTGGAATACTTCTTAAGGTTATGGTTAGGATTATGGTTAGGGGTAGGGTTAGGTTTAGTCGCAAGTCACCGTCAAATTATAATACGGATAGGACGTTTTGACTGAGTAGGATAGTTTCTCAGAACACCCGGTCCTGCACCGACAAACAGACGTGTGTGTTCTGACCTGGCGACCCCGTCGGGCTCCGAGTCTGCCCACTGACCTCCCTGCTGACACACTTGGGCCAACAGCCAATCACCCGCCTCCATCCCTCCTCTTGCCTGCATCTTCATCCCCCTGCACATGCTCAGACCTCTCTCAGCCTCCGAGAGTCCCTCTGATTCCTGCTCACTGAGCAGAACTGACATCACGGAGAGTCAGTATGCCTGAAAGTACTCACCGTCTTTCTGGGGGGCTGCCAGGTACTTCCGGTACACGGCGTCTCTGACGTAGCTCTTGTACCCGCTCTGGGTCACGAACCTGCAAGCGAACCGATTCCTACGCACGCAGTTGAACAGCACGCACGTGCGGTTCTCCTCTCCGGGGACGCTCGGCTCCAGCAACGCCAGGTTGCAGTGCACTTGCCCGCAACACGCGCGCTCGCACTCGAGCTCGGAGTAGAAGCTCGCGGTGGCCAACATGACCGCGCCCTGCTTCACCGCGTCCTCCGCGTACAGCACGAAGTCCTCGTGCCCGCGCCGGAACTCGTCCTCACAGTGCGGGTCCACCGCCCCGCCGGACCGCAAGAGCGCGAAAACGAGGAGGAGGATGAGGGGGGAGGAAGAGGAGCGCGTGGACATGTCCATCTGCGGTCAGTCTACGCGCGAGGAGGAAAAGACGCTCAGCTCAGCTCCGATGTACCTCCTCAGGTGTGTCTCACCTGCTCTCTGACAGGAAGACAAACACTTCGCCCCGCCCCCACACAGGTGATTCTGACGCGCCGCTGACGTCAACAACAACAGGTGAATTTATGGATCCACAGGAGAGCATGAAAGAGGCTGTATCCCAATTCAGGGTCAGCAGCCTTAAAGGCTGCATTTTAAAGCCGATTACGTCACAGTGGCGCGCTGAAGGCTGTCCCAATTCAAATGCTGTGTCCCATTTCAGGGTCTGCACGCTTGAAGTACGCGCACTACCCGTACTACATACGGTGCGTACTATAAGTACGAGAAGTGCGGAAGTGAGAGGCTTGTGAAATGGGA